TCCAAAGACGCAACTTCAGAGTCTGGAAGACGGTTCAATGTTTTTCTCCCCGATGATTCGATCTCCGTCCTGATAAACTGCAGAGTGTTGATTCTACAACAGAACTGAATTATTTCTGCTGAATCATTACTCGTCGCGGGGTGTGATTTTCTCCTGTGAGAAGCTACCATTGGCTTCTCCTTTTTCTTAAATACACCATGTAGTCTCGACCCAACCGTGCATCTTGTTAAAGCGGGCAAAGCGGGTAGAAACGTATTCCGCGAGCCTAATCAATTCCATAGAGAAAAATCAGAAATTCCATAAGTGAAATCAACAAAGCATGGGATTCATCATTCAAAATACCAGACTATTGAATCTGCATACCACAGGAAGATTTCGCCTTTGATACATAATGCTGCATACATTTGTCGAGACCTGATGTCAGCTCAGGAAGTAAAACTGGATGCATAAGTATTGGCAACAAGAAAAACGCTTCCAACGTCTCATCTACCATCCTCAGTACATCCACTGCAGAGGGAGCGATGCCAAGTTTATTCGATTTCGGATTCCATACCTGCAATAGAAAGTTACACAACCAATCAATAAACCCTTACAAAGAACCAAAAAAGGAAAGATGATTGAAGTCGTTAGCTACCTCTTGCTGGAGATTACGGTCGATCCACTCCTTTAGCCTATCGACTCGGGTCTTGATCCACGATTTCACAAGATTGCCAATAACGACTTCTGCTTCAAAAGGAGGCATCTCTCTTATTACCGATTTTCCGCCATCTTCACTATCTACTGCATCTTGAACTGCAATCTGCACCAGATCCTTCTCAAGCTTATCTGCAGCGGTGAGTACTCTTATAGCATCCGGCGTCAACTCAGTAATACCAGACACAAATTTCTTCAATTCAGTTCCATAGCATGAATGAAGTGTAGCTGCAGCCACGCCAGCTGCCAGAGGATGCCAATTCTTTAAGACTGGACTAAATATCGCCTTCTCGTTGAAAGCTAAATGACCAATATCCTCTGCAAGAATCGCAAGAGCCGGAAGATTGCTAGTGTTCTGACGGGATTTTGATTTCTTGCTATGTTCCACCATCCTCTTTGTCTAATACAACCAAAACGTAGAAAAAAAAAACTACATAAATGTTCGCAAGTACAAATTACAATCTACAAAACAAGGTAAAATAAACAAACCTGTGAAAAAGCCATACGCAATGATGATCTAATATAAGTATCGACACGATCACGCCCTGAATCAACATGCTTTTTCTTCCTCCTATACTCGCTAGAAGTATCTTCACCTAGTACTTTAGCTACCAAAATCCCCAAAGAAACTGTAGTTTCAAGTGTCTCAACGTTGTCGATATTGAAAGTATCATGGTAAGCAAGAAGTCTCTTCTCAGCCCAATCCACAATCAAACTTAAAACAGAACTCAAGATCTTTGAATACTCAGGATCATTTGTCTCCTTGGCATCATTCTCAATTTCGAGTATCAAGTTATGAGCAGCTACAAGCAAGTCATTCTCCACTTGCCCGGTTGAAACATATCGGTTGAACAACACCCAGAGAAAACAAACATTGTGAATCATCTGATTCATACCCAAGACAGGCCATGTTTTCTTTATAAGCTCTAAAACTTCATCTACTTCTTCAACAATCAATAACTCATCATTCACATCGAAACAGGACTCTAAAAGCATTTTATAGATTCTAAGATTCAGCGGAAACCCGTCAGCCCAATGACAAGTCTCGGAACCAATCCCATTGTTGTTTGGCCGACTAGCAAGAGACATTACTAAACTCCTAAGATTCTGCGTCTCTCCCGTGATCTTCCCAGTATCTAATGGCCTCTCGAGACCCGACCGGATAATCTGCTTAAGCTGTTGAACAGATTTATCGGATTTACTTAACGGCACACAAGGATATAATATCAAACCGGCTTCAAGAAGCTTCAAATTTCTTCTCTGCCATGATTCATACTCCTCTTGGTCGGGAAAGTCTGAAGCTTTAAGCTGCTGCAAAAGCTCAAGAGGTAGCACCATCATCTCCACACGCCTCCCAAGCTAAAAATCAAACCACAAACGTCAAAGCTCAATCTACTAAAAGTAACTTAAAGTATCCGTAATTAACGATAGATTAAAGCTCAAATCCAAGCAACAATTTACTAAAATTAACCCAAGTATCAGTAATGAACTACAGACTTAGCATTAAAAAGCTCAAATTCAAACAACTCTTCTTGAGAAAAACATAAAATTGCTACCTTTTGCCCGAGAAAAATCGATTTTTTAACAATGAGAAACGTACCTGACCAGAAGCGATCCTGAGAAGAGCTCTACGAATCCTTGAATCGATCTGCTCCGAAATCCGCATTTGTACCCGAACTAACTCACCCACGGTGACAGATTTCTTACTCCGATCCGGTTGACCCGACGATGCTCCTCCTCCTCCTCCGTCTCCGTTTCGTTTCTTCATCCCCAAGGCCTTCTTCACCTTGCTCGCAGCTGTCGACGTCAGAGATCTATGAAGCGACGGTGAAGGGGTTAACCCCGCCGTCGCCGCACCGCTGCTCCGATCAGATTTGGGCGATTGAGGGATGTAAGTGAGCGGACGGCTTCCAGTGCTCCGGCAAGCAGCGACTAAGATCTCGTAAGCGGTTTCTCGGAGCTCCGAATCAGATAAATTAGGAGCTGGATCGCCAAATGGAGAAGGCAACGATTCCATTTCCACTTCGAATTAACCCCAAACCAGGAAAAAAAAAAAAAAGAGAAGATTTTTAGATCAAAGTAAGAAGCTTTATACTCAAAACCCTTCTCTCTTGTTGTACTAAAGGTTTAATTTTTTTTGTTGGGGGATGATGAAGCTCGAGTTCAAAGAAACGACAAGAGAATATTGCGGAAACAATTAGATCAAAGGGTAAGAAACAATCATTGATTCATTCTTCACCAAAAAAACAAACAAAACTGCTCAGAGAGAGATAAAAGTATTATTAAACTTTAATTGTTTTTGTTCTTGAGAAATAAAAAACAAAAGTATATAATACAAAAAAAGATGAAGAATTTGGTGTTGCCCAGATAATGATTCTTGCTTGAGGTTAAAGAATGAATTTTAAAAAGAAAAAGAAAAAAAAAGCAGACAAAATTGTAAAACCAGACGACAAATTGGAATTAGAGAGAAGAAGATTTGAGTTGAGACAGGTGTTTGTCTTTGGTAACATATGCACATGTACAGCTGAATTGTATTTTCTAATTTGTATATAATTATCCCTTTCTTTTTAATTTTATTATGAGATTAGGGAGTGTTATTAATGTTATGATGGGAAATAAAATTAACTCGAAATTCATATGGGTATTAGTCTCATTCGTTTGGACTTGGAAGAGATCAAATATGTTTTCATTTAATTACTTCCTTAATCGCATGTTGATATTTGACATATAACTAGATTTAAATTAAAAATTAACCAGCATGTGATTCATTCATCCTTTGGAGATTCGAACTAGAATAACTAATTAAGTAGCACACACCACATCCTTTGTAATGGATCTTTATGTTCGTTGGACGTAGTTGAATAAGGTTATTGGAAGACAAATTCAATAATGTCATTATCTTTGTGAAAGACGAAGACTTTGTAGTTTGTACCATTCTGTATCTTCTTCTTCTAGAGTTCATATTCGTGGAAATTTTCAATATTACGCACCGCAAATTTATTAAGATTTGACGACATTTTCACACGGCAATAACTAAGTACCAATTCAACTAAATATTTAGGCTATTCTTTTTAATTTTTGGGGGTCAAGTAACGAGATATTCTTAAATATAGCCATGTAGTGGTGCGGCGGTTGTTGACCATTGTTTAATTTATTCTTCTAATCATATACTACTACTGTATTTGTTCCTTCGTTTTCGAAAACCTATCACTAAAGAGTACAACACAATAATGATTGGATTGGTAATCATTGAAGCTCTCCAAAATTTTACTTTTAAACAATATTTAACATATTCGAGAGCTTGCTTAAATAAACTAAAACAATTAACCCGTTTTGTACACACTAGTTTTGATCAATGTTACATATTTTCTATCATTTTGATTTTTTGTTTAACCAACCTAATTGTGGATGTTGCATTTTTATATCTATGCACGGTGCAGTGCATGTACCATTATGTTTGGCAACATGAATGAGACAATCTTTCGTCAGTTCGTGTAGCATATTCTGCACCAACTTCTGCGTGCGTGCGATATGCATTTTTATAACATGTCACATATCTAGAAATTATTTTGTAAGTTTTTTTCTGTTTGCGGAGTGTATAGGGTTATATATAAGCTGTAGGAACAAATCTCGAACAAGAAGCCAATACATTATTTTTTTACTATATTGTAGGTTTTGTTAGTTCTCTACTTCGAGTCTTTTATTTCACTATAACTATAGGTTATACCGTTATAGTATTTTGTTCTACTATTAGCTTTTAATTAGGATATGGAAGACAATTTTCTTGTTCTATTTCAAGATTTCATTAGTCATATACAGTATATATTATTGTCATTTTTCTTAAATAAACTTAAAAACCAAATAATTAATCTTTATCACTTAAACTAGATTTGGCTTAATTTGAATAATTTATTTACGATCCAAACAACTTAGAACTGATCTAAGACCTTCAAAAGTTGATCTAAAATTTTATTTGGATTGATTTTGGTACATAATATTATTCCTTAACAATAATATATATAAAAATCCAAACCAACCCTTAGAACAAACCGAAGAAAAATATTTTGTATAGTGAGATGTGACTAATGTAACTTTTTAATTTACACAGTATAGTATTTTGCCCCAAAGAAAAATAATTGGGTTAAAAAGGAAAACAAATAGTAAATAATTAATGGATTAGGGTACGGGTTAAAAACGGAGTGTTTGTTTCCTCGGCATATAAATTGTAGGATCTACCATGTAAAAAAATATTCAGGGTTTGTATAAATTACTTTTCTATCAGAATTAACAAGTTCAAAGTCTAAACAATGTCTATGCTTCTTAGACATGTATGGAAAGAAGCCCTTGTAAGCTGATCTCCTCGATCTCTCTCTCTATATATATGTCTATGTTGAGTTTTATGCTTTAGTTGGTTAATGATGGATGATTGATTTTTATATGTTTTTTTTTTTTGGCAGGGACGAAACCATAGCCGTCGGTTCTCATCTTCGTTATGCACCAATCAGCCTTATCTCATCCTCGGGGGAGATTATTGTGGGGTTGATTTGATCAAGGGTGATAACGTTGGGCACCTCGAGTATTATGATCCTTGTAAAGGTGAAGTCAAGGTTTCGGAAAAGATAGTGCCTATGGAGTTTCTGGAGTTAATGGGAAGGATTGGATCGTCTCATGGTTGGGTAGCTTCTTTGAACACACGTGATGCGTCCATGTCTCTCATAGATGATCTTAACCCTACCACTTCACTAGATTCATACCCAAAACGTATTTCACTGCCTCCTTTTGTCACTTTGCCTTATTGCCAAACCCAACTTGTCTCTAACGTGGCTATGTCGTCCGCTTCTCCTGAACAAGAGGACTGTGTTTTGGCTGTCAAGTTCTTTGGACCTCAGCTCAGCTTATGCAAGCCATGTTCCGGTCCGAATACGAAATGGTTCAACATCAGAACCCCAAATAGGTTTTTCAACTCCCAGGTCATGTACTCCAGAAGAAACCAAATGTTCTGCATGGCCGCTTCTGGAGGCCATTACACGGGATCATGGGATCTCCACAAACATAGGCATAACCCTATATTGAACCAGTTGAAGTTGCAAAACTTTCCCAAGTTGATGCAACCGGAGCTAGGACTGTTGGATTCATGTTTCAGGAGGGAAGACTTGGTGGAGTCACCCACCGGTGAATCCTTTCTCGTTAAATGGTACGACGACGGAAGCAGCAGCTATAGTGATTCGGAAAAGTCGAAAACCAACAAGCTTTTCTTGGTGTTCAAGATAGACGAGGAAGGTAATGCTTGTTACACTCAAGATATTGGAGATCTTTGCATTTTCTTGTCCAAGTCTGAGCCTTTCTGTCTACATGCAAGCTTGTACTCTGGCCTCACTCCTAACTCGGTCTACTTCGTTGGCTTCGACGACATAGGAGTTTGCAATCTTGCCACTTCCACCGTCCATCAGATTCCAAATATTAATCCCGACAATTACCCGTCCATGACTACGTTCTGGCTTCATAATTAGACTAGCTAGCTAGCTAGGTATTCATCTTTGCTTAGATTTTATTCCTCGACCTGTCTTCTTCTTTTTTCCAACATTCTTTGATTTGGTCTGTTTTCAGAATTGCCTCTTTAATTAGTCAATTATGTCTGAACAATTTTTCTAGAGTTTGGAATTTTCAATAGTATCTGCTGTGTGAAATGAGGGTGGTCATGTATATATTTAGCTAGCAACATCAAATGTGGCCACTTTGCTTTGCAAACTCTAAAACTTAATTAACAATCAATCTTGAAGTGGTTTATAACCTACAATGTCTTTATTATATAATCAATGCTTAAGAATGGGAACTTTGGAAGGAAAATAATTGAGTTTTCTTATAGTTGTGGGTTATATATGAACACTAAAAACATGTGGCAGCTCCATGGCTTTTGGCATAGTTGGTGTGATTTGAAGAGGAGATATGCCCAAGTTTGATGACACATTGACACGAGGGTGAAAAACAAAAGTGATTTAATAGCCACCAGTTACTTGATTCTAAAATAAGATCGATCTAAGGCTCCGATTATTATTTGAGAATTTTTTGAGAAATACCCTGTACCTTTTAAAAAATACTTTTTTATCTATCCATTTTCAAAAATACCCCTTTTTAAATATTAAAAATTATAAAGTTTTATATAGTTTATAAGATACTTCTATATAATAACTACTATTGGGAGATTCGATACAAATATTTTAAAATGTTTTAAATAGTTTTAAATCGGTTTTATAAGTTTTATAAGGTTTTTAAAGGTTTTTAAAAGGATTTATACGGTTTTTATAAGGTTTTTATAATTTATTTTTACGTTATTTATGAAAGCTATATAAAGTTTTATACACATATAAAGGTAATTTGTGTATATATTTATAAGCTTACACACATATTTGGATAAATTTCAACATTTTTAGTGGGTTTTTGATAAAGTTTGAAAAGGGGTATTTTTAAAAAGATGTATTTTTAAAAAGAGGTATATGAAAAAGGGTATTTTTGAAATTCCCCCTTATTATTTTCTTATTGATTTCATAGTTAGTAGCTAATATATACGTATATATATTGATAGCATATTGTAGTATCCATTGATTTAATGAGTCTTACACTAGATAGATAACGCATAAATATATTGTTACCAACAATCATGATTTATTTTGTTTTTCTTATTAAGAGTTTATAAGTTTGAGTTTAGTTGTGATATATATATATGCTAATTTGCATTTACAATTTTGCGTTACTTGTTTTATTAAAATGCTTAACTCAACGTTTCACCAATTACAACAAAACGGCTTGCATTAGAGTTGAGTTAAACTTATGAGAAATATAATCTAATAAAATTTTAAATAAAACTTACACAAAACTTGAATATAAAACCAAAACTTACACAAAACTTGCTTTATTTTGTTGTTTTGTGATGATGACAAAAAAAAAAAAAAATTATCATTAATTGAATCTTTACCGAAAATGTGACGTCCACGACGAGACACATATTAGAAATAGCACACATAATTACTCGAGAATCAAGATACAATATTGTGAAACATCTAAAAAATATAAATATAACAACACGATACATATTAGCTATAACAACAAAATCTAGATTCGGATAGTGATGAAATAAATATCAGAAATATTTGACATACACGTTAATGCCAAGTATATACATAACAATATATAACGACGTATATAAAGGATCACATTAGGGTTTATCTTAGGAAAATCGTGCGTGACAATGTCTATGTTTCTCAAACATCTCTCGAAGCTAAATCTCAAGAAACCGAAAGATGCTCTCGTAAGCTACGCGTTCGTTTTGTAGTTTCTGTTTTATTTCGTTGATGTTGGATTCTGATCATCTCTGACTGATATAGTTCTTTTTTGGTTGGTACGTACGTAGAAAAACCAGAGTGTTAGGTTGTCGCAAACCCCGCCCTATCTGACCATCGGCTTTTGGTTGAAAGAAGACTCGCTCCACTTGTACGACCCAGTCAAGGAAGACACGACTAAAATATCAGACAAAACACTCCCGGAGGAGCTCCATACTTTGCAATTGCAAGGTATATCACATGGTTGGGGACTTTTCATGGACCAACACGACAGCTCTGTTGTACGTATCTCCAACTTTTTTCTGCCTTCAGCCTCAAAATTATCCCCTACAGTCACGCCTCTGCCTCCCTTTTGTCCTCTGCCCGATTACAAACTGGAGTCCGTGAGAAGTGTGTCAATGTCCTCTTGTCCTGACCAAGAGGATGAGGAGTGTGTAGTTGCTGTCAAGTTTACGGGATTTCAGTTGAGTCTCTGTGTGCCTGGCAGGGACTCCGAGTGGACGAACATTGTAACCCCTTTTAATTACTTCCACAACAGCTCGAGTCTCACGTATTCTAAGAGAGATAAAAGTTTCTATATGCTCGCTCCAGGAAGCCGCTTCTTGGCTTCTTGGTATATCCATTCCAAGAACTGGGACTACCCAAAGTTCCACGAGTTAAGGTTTCACAACATTCCTAGGTTTTCGCAGTCGCAGTGGCAGCTATTGGATTCGTCTGCCAAGACTGAACACTTCTTGGAAGCCCCCTCGGGCGAATGTTTCCTCGTCAAGTGGTATATACAAAAAAAAATCTCAAGGGAATAAAAAAAAACTAAAAAAATTGTTAAATGCTAAAACATCTTGGTTGGTTCGTGCTTACAGGTATGGGGAGAGCTTGCCGTGTGTGTTCAATGAGAAAGAAACAATTTACTACAGGACAAACCGGTTCATGGTCTTCAGACAGGAAGAGGCGAGTAAAGATGGGGTAAGAAACATGTGTTACATAGAGGACATTGGAGATCTATCCATCTTCATTGGAGACAATGAACCTTTTTGTGTCCAGGCCAGCTCCTGCCCTGGTCTCAAGCCTAACGCTATCTATTTCATGGGCTACGACTTTGGTGTTCATGACCTCGCAACCAAAACTGTCCATAGATTTAGTGACAAAGGTTTGCCAGGCCCAGTATTCGCTTGCCCGTACTGGATTCCTCCAGTTTTTCTCTAGCAAATTTTTTTTATATCTTAATAATTATGTTCCTTGATTCAAATCATCACCTTGTTTTAGATTTTATCAAGTTAAATAGGGATACACTCCTACTAGGTTTCATTATTTTTTGTCATCTTCCATGCATTCCATATTCACAAAGAAAATGTTATGAATTGTCCAATATTTTCTACCATGCATGCTACTTTACCACTTATGTGCTGATTGATAAGTTTGAAGATTAAAAAATTAATCCATTGAAAATCTCTAACGTGACCATGCATGTTTACTTCCGTATATGAAGTTCGAACTTCGTAGTTATGTCTTTTTGTTCGCCGTTCGTAGACTCGTAGTTACGTAAAACCTAAAAACTATGTGGTTTTCGAAGAAGATCGTCAAACATCGGAATTTATCCATAAGGTTACATCTTTTTTCATCTTGCGACCTCTTTTTTTTCATAAACATCTTGCGACCTCTTCACTCAACATAAAAAGGAGGATGAGATTTATAAGAAAGAATACTTATTTATGAAACAGAACATAAATGTGTAGCTGAAGAAATCTACCGAAAGAACGACCAAGTCTTTTGAGGAATGAATCTCAAAGATTAAAGATCCATACAAATATTTATATCACAAACTGGTCTTAGTACCAACACTGCCAAAAAAGTTTCACATTAAGAGATTATATAGGTTCTATTTATATCATCTTTTAATATCTTACTTCTATGAAAACTGCAAATTGTAATGTTTTGTGCTTCATATCATAGCCATAGTCTTTGCATATCACAAAGCAAAAGTCAGCTCATTATGGGCTTTAAATACAAATGGGCTTTAAAAGAAAATGGGCTTTAAAACTAAATGGGCTTTATACGACCCTTTTATTTTTCGATCTTTCACAAATTCGACCCCATAGTTTTTCAATCCCCCAAACTAACTCAGTACCTGTGGATGAGTCTCTCTAAAACCTTCGTTTCCTACGCGACCTCTGTTTTCTCCGGCCATGTCGTTGAAACTCAACACCCCTTTCCCAATTTTCGCGCCATCTCTATTTCCTAATCCGAACCCAAGAGCTCCCAGCGAGATCCGATTCTCTAGATGGGGCAACGCTAATGCCGAACGGTTCGAGCAGCGTCGCCGGAGCCAAGAAGAACTCGAGGCTGAGATCCGTCGCGACCGCCGATTCGACGCCGCCACTAAAATCGTCCACACACACGATTCCGACGCAGCAGCTTCTGAGTCTAAAACGTCACCGTTTAGATCAAGAGGCACTCCTTCGCTTCCCTCTGCTCGTTCGATTCCGGGTCGGAGATCCAAATACTCCAAACCCGATTCAGGACCCAATAAACCCAAGAATAAACCGAGAGTACCTGATTCGCCGCCGCAGTTAGACGCTAAGGCGGAAGTTAAGCTAAGCGAAGACGGATTATCTTACGTCATCAATGGAGCTCCTTTTGAATTCAAATACAGTTACACGGAGACGCCAAAGGTTAAGCCTTTAAAGCTTCGTGAGCCTGCCTACGCGCCTTTTGGGCCTACGACTATGGGAAGGCCATGGACTGGTCGTGCTCCGCTTCCTCAGTCGCAAAAGACGCCGAGAGATTTTGATTCTTTCCGATTGCCTCCGGTGGGGAAGAAAGGGGTGAAGCCGGTGCAGAAACCGGGTCCTTTCCGACCGGGAATTGGTCCAAGGTATGTTTACACCAAGGAGGAGATTTTAGGGGAGCCGTTGACGAAAGAAGAGATTAGAGAGCTGGTTACTTCTTGCTTGAAGACAACAAGGCAGTTGAATATGGGTACAAAGCTCAATTCTTTTCTATTTTTGTTGAATTTGTTCTATGAGATCAATAGTTTCTTCATGATGATCAAACTTAGAATCTTTGGAAGCTCAAACGTTGTTGTTTATGTGCAAGTAAAGTTCGGGTTCTTGTAGTTATCGCAAGTGATAGACTCATAAAATAGAGTTAGAGTAGAAGAAGATATGATTTAAAGTTTATGTCTTCTCTCAGGCAGAGATGGCTTGACGCATAACATGTTGAATAACATACATGATCTATGGAAGCGGCGAAGGGTTTGTAAGATTAAATGCAAAGGAGTTTGTACAGTCGACATGGATAATATTTGCGAGCAACTAGAGGTTTCTCCTTGTTTTATTAGATCTTTTCATATTACTGGACAATGGACGCATAACATGTTGAATAACATACATGATCTAATCTGTTTGTAATTATCTTCATGAAGTTGTGAATTGAATTTGGCAGGAGAAAATTGGTGGGAAGGTGATATACAGAAGAGGAGGTGTGCTTTTTCTTTTCCGTGGCAGAAACTATAACCACAGGACAAGACCACGCTTTCCTCTTATGTTGTGGAAGCCTGTGGCACCTGTTTATCCAAAGCTGATTCAGCAAGTGCCTGAGGGTTTAACTCGTCTGGAAGCTACAGAGATGCGGAGGAAAGGACGGGAGCTCATGCCCATCTGCAAGCTAGGTAAGCATTGGTATAGCAATAATCTTGATATGGTATTTCTTCAAGACCCGAGAATGTTAACTCTATCATGTGTTGGGTTGGGTCATGTAGGGAAAAATGGTGTGTATTGTGACCTTGTGAAAAATGTGAAAGAAGCATTTGAAGTTTGTGAATTGGTTCGGATTGACTGTCAAGGGTTGAAAGCCAGTGATTTTAGGAAAATCGGTGCCAAACTCAAGGTTTGATATATTCTTTTATATATGTTTTGAAAAAAACAAATTTAATCTTGTGTTTTACAGCCTCGTTATTGAACGCGCTGGTTGTGGCTCACTTTGCAGGATCTAGTTCCATGTGTGCTCATATCTTTTGAAAACGAGCAGATCCTTATCTGGAGAGGACGAGAATGGAAATCGTCTCTCACAACTCCAGATAAAAAGGATGATTACCTTCGAGATATTGAAGTTGATACTGCGTTACCGGAAGATGATGAACCATCGTCACCAGATCAGCCTCAAACTGTGATCCAGAACTCTCCTCTGGGTTCTATGGAATCGCAAAATAATCCAGATGGTCATGATTTGAGCCCTTCAACAGTAGATTTCTTGGCGATGGAGGGTACAAGCAGTTCTTTACGGAGCTTGTCTACAGATGTAACTGAGCTAACTGCAGATAGTTCTCTTGGAGATGATCAAGAACCTGAACCCGAGCCAGAGAAATCAGAAGAGATCAGCAAACAAAGCATAGAGAGAGTTCTAAATCTGATGAACCAAGCTGTAGAAAGCGGGACTGCACTTGTGTTAGACAGTACTGAGCTGGATGCAGACACAGTCTTCGCAAAAGCTGTCGCCTTTTCGGCTGTAGCTGCACCTGGACCAGCTTTTCAGCATGGCTTGAGAAAACAGCCGATGGTTAAGAAGCAGGAAAAACGAGAATCCGGATACAGAAGCGTGGAGGCAAAGGTAAGTAATGTTGTGGTAACTGTGAAGAAAGAAGTTGCCTTTAGTGTGAAAAGAGAGGAGAAGGAGGAGGAAGGTGGATTGAAGAAGAAAATTGATGAGTTTGATGAAGATTACAGAGAAGTGTTACCTCATGGAACATTGAAGGTAGATGAACTAGCTAAATTACTTGCATAAAGAATTATATGTATTTGTAATTGTTGTGTAGTGTATAATGTTAGCTAATCATCACTATCAAAAGTGTAATTTAGATTTATAAACGCACAAATTTGTCAGAAAATAGTAAATACTAGATTTCTACTCGAGTCAAAAGAATCTAGGCCGTAAGGGCTTAAATAGTGTGTTTTTGATTCCTGAATTCCTAACTTTCGTATTTCTTCAAAGTTCAAAGTTGTATAGTTTTGTTGCGATGGCACAGTCATGATACCATTGGAAACGTACATGGTAACAAAGAGTTGATTATAACATATAGAAATTTCATGGTAAAAATATATAAAAACATAGAAACATAATTTCTAATTTGATTTCGATCGTCCATCCGCTCGAAAAAACATCAAAACTAAAAGAATTAGAAAAAGCGATGATGATTTTAGTTGTTCTTCCTGAATTTCTTACTGATTGTAAATAGAAGTAGCCGGAATGCAAAAGTATATTATCACTAGAAGTAATTTATTGGACGTCCGAGATTGAGCCGTCAACAACAGACAACTCAAAGTTCTTCACTATAAGCCTTTTATTGGTGTGTGTGTTTATGAGAGCATGTTCTTATCAGCCCTATTGATTTGGGTATGATTAGGGTTTATAACAAAAAAGCCAAAAACTAGACAAAACAATAAATCTTTCAAATTGATAGGAGCACTCACTAGCTTTTTAGAAATTGAAGCTTGTGGTGATAGATTTCTAATCCTGCTTAAAAATACTCACATACAAGTTTTGTACCAAGTAGCAACATCTAAATACTTTTCAAAATTACTTACTGTATACTTTATCTATTTTACTTATACATAAAATTACATGAAAATTAATTAAATTCTTTAAAATTTCGGAAGTGAATGGACTCATACAATAAATTCTCAAAATAAATTATACGTGTTTTGACTAAAACTTTTTAGAAAAATATATACTCATATGGTAACTCACACAAAAAAGGTTATAAATTCCACAATTCAAAGTCAAAGACTTTTTAATTTTCACAAATATCCATATATTGAATGCATTATCATATTAATCCTATCTTTCGTTCCAATAATTCCTTAACTAAATCACCAACCACAACCTATTCTATACAACTAATCCCCATGACCCATATCTATATTAACATTTTTGCAGCAACTTATGAAAAAACCCTTGCTTTGCTCACTTATTTACAAGGTTCTGCCATTGGTATTAATATTTCTTTTTAAATAGTTTAAAAATCAATAATGAAAACAAGAAAATCTCCCTAAAATTTTTCGAAAATACTTAACAAAATCTTCAAGTTAAAGAAATATTTATTATTGCAAAAAAATAATTAAGAAAATCTCTATTAATTATTTCGAAAATAGCTAAAACAATTTTCAAATTTAATACATACTTATTATCTTAATAAAAATTTCCAAAAATAACTAATGTAAAATTCAAAAATATGAGGCAAACTTCTCAAACTAAAGTCAGTCGATTTTATAA